GGGGGGAGACACAAGCAAACATACAGCATGTGTATGTATGTATATAAAATCACCTCACATGAAATACTGGGGAGGGGGGGAGAGGGGAGAACCACAAGCAAATATGTGTGTGTGTATATGTTCTGCGTAATTTACCGATCTGTGCAAACTTGCGCTGCGTTTTAATGACCATATAATAATAATTACGCTGCCATCTTAAGATTGCACTGCGCGTCTTAACTATGGTATAATTGTGTGGCAATCTGAAGATTGAGTTAATATTTTATATTTTTTACATATTTTGGGGGGGGGTTTATAAATACACTTCAATCTTTATTCTTTTACTCACATCAAGGAACATTCACATACATTTTCAAGTGTAAAAATATGAAAATTAAATCCAAAATCAGAACTAACATATAAAACTCAAGAGCACACAAGAATGATACAGTGCCAGGTATCAAACTCAAAGTTTACAAAGTATATTTAATTTATGTCATATTTTTAAAATAATTTTTTAGTTAAATTCACTTCCATCTTTATTTATTCTTTTACTCGTATCAAGGCACATTCACATATATTTTCAAAAGTGGAAAAATATGAAAACTAAAATTAAAATTAACAAATAAAACTGAAGAGGTCTCAAGAATGACACAATGCCAGGTATCAAACTCAAAATTCACAAAGTTCATTTAATTGAGAGGAAGAAAGAGAAAGAGAAAGAAAGAGAGAAGAAGGGACAGAAGAAGGGACAGAAGGAGGGAGAGAAGGAGAGAGAGAAAAGAGAAAAAAAGAGAGAGAAGGAGGGAAAGAAGCAGGGAGAAAGAGGAAGAGAAGGAGGAAGAGAAGGAGGAAGAGAAAGAAAGAGAGAGAGAAGGAGGGAGAGGAAGAAAGAGAGAGAAGAAGGGAGAGCAGGAGGGAGAGAGAAAGAGAGGGGGAAAAAGAGAAGAAGGGAGAGAAGAAGGGAGAGGAGGGAGAAAGAAGGGGGAGAGAGAGAAAGAGAGAGAAGAAGAGAGAGAAGAAAAGAGAGAGAGAGAGAGAGAGAGAGAGAGAGAGAGAGAGAGAGAGAGAGAGAAAAGAAGGGAGAGAAAGAAAGGGAGAGAACGAAAGCGCCAACTCACCGTACTGGTCACGTTGTAGGGGTGGTCCTGTGGGGAGAAAAAAAAGCAAAACTTGCTGGGATTGTGCTTTAGTTTAAGTAAGAGTTTTACAGCACTTGCAACCCAATAAGGTCATATAGTGCCGATGAATAGGTGTGTTACAAGAGAGTAACTTGAAAAAAAAAAAGGAGAGATAAGAGATGTGTGACAGGAAAGAGGGAGCAAACCACACCAGAGCACCTGTCAACCACCCAGTGGGGTTGTGCATGTTTCAATGAGAGTTGTTTGTTTTAGTAAGGTTTTACGGCGCTCGCAACTGCATAAGGTCATATGAGTGCCATGGGGTGGATGTCAACAGACAAGTCCAAACGGGGAATCAGGCTTACTCTGCTCACCTCTCTAGCTTCAACAGCACAAAGTCTGCTTCGACTATCAAGGTACCCTGGAAATAACAGTTCACAAGAGAGTGACAAACATAAAAAAGAAGTAAAGGATAAATAATGATAGTAAGGAAAAGGAAAGAAAAAGCAGCAGTTCCCCTTATGCTGTTCCGGCACAGTAAGAGCATGACATTGATATATCAGCCAATTTACAATTTTATAACAAGTTGACATCAACCGCGATGTAAACGAAGTTCAAGATAAAAACCTGATTTTATTATGTAAATCCGATTCCCATACATGACTCAAGCTGACACACTGAGCACCACATGTGAATAACACTGACACACTGAACTCACGCTGACACACTGAACACCATACATGACTCACGCTGACATACTGAACACCACACATGACACACTGAACACCACACATGACACACGCTGACATACTGAACACCACACATGACACACTGAACACCACACATGACGCACTGAACATCACACATGACACACGCTGACACACTGAACACCACACATGACTCACGCTGACACGCTGAACACCACACATGACTCCCGCTGACACGCTGAACACCACACATGACACATGCTGACACACTGAACACCACACATGACTCACGCTGAAGGCTGAGATGATGACAGTTGGACGTCGGCTGCGCGGGCAGACGGAGAAGAAGCTGAGCAGAAGTCGTTCGTCATGGTGGTCGTGGCAGACGAAGGAAGACACGAGACCTCGCAGGCACGTCTCCACCGCCATGGCCCACTTCGAATCCAACAGGTCAAAGCAGACCCCTGGCACGACACAATGCTTTGTTTCAGTAAAAGAGTTTTACGGCACTTGCGACACAAATAGGTCATATGTGAGGAAGCGAGGTGAAATCAGGTGCTCGTCAACATAACGAAATGAGAGAAACAGGCATTTTTCTGCCAGTCTGGAGATTTTTATCACATTTTTGTTTTTTGGCTTAACCTCTTCAATATCCATATTTAAAAACACATTTTCATGTGAATTTTATTGAAAAACATTGATTAAAGGCACAAAATACGTTATTTTTTAGTTTTTAAAGACTCTAGTTATTGGAGTTGCCGAACTTTGGCGGTCATTTTCTCGCCAATTTCAACTCTGAAACCAGGCGACACCATTTCCTTCAATCACAAATATCTTGAGTGCTGTTCAAGATAAATTTATATTTATTTCATTGGAAAAAGGAGAGCAAATAAATCAGCTTTCAGATGATACCAATAGCTCCATATGCCCAAAAATTGACGAGCGCCTGATTGCACCACGCCATGACACACATAAGTGCCCAAGACTGGAGGATTTACTTGAGACTGACATACAAAGAATAGAAAGAAGGAGCAATAAGGACGACAGATGTTGGATTGGAAAAAAGAGCCAACCACACCAGTGAACCCATCAACCGCCCATACATACCACTTACAAAAAACAACAAAAGCTGATGGTAGACGTTTTACACTCCTATCAAGACAATCTAGATAAATTAGGAAGAAGGCTTCTGACCCTGCCTGACAGGGCCAGCCCAAACTGAGAATATACAAATCCCAGTAGAAAGACCGAGACATTCCAGAAAAAATTCTCCCCCACTCAGGGACTCAAACTCCTGTCCTCTGAACAGTACAGCGGAGCACCTAACCACTACACCTGACCACGGTACGCTCAGTGCCCATTGCAAGAAAAAGACAGGCAGGGTAAACACGCAGGATGCAGAAGACATAAAAATGTATCACAACGTGGTGAAACCAGGCGCACGTCAATCTTGGGCATGTGGAGTTATTGGTATTTATCTAAAAGCTTTTTCATTTGCCTTACTTTCAATTTTAAAAATACCCATCTATCTTGAATAGAAGTCGAAATATTTGCAATTGAAGGAGGTGGGGTTTCGAAGGAAAAATTATAGAGAAAATGGCCGCCAAAGCGTTGCAACTTTTATAGCTTGACAGTCCTTGAAAACGGAAAATTTACATATTTTGTGCCACCATTAATCAACGTTTTTCAGTAAAAGTCACATGGAAATGTGTTTTTATATGAAAAAAAAAAAGTGTTGAATCAAAAAACAAAACCTTTATAAAAATTGCCAAACTGGAGGAAAAATGTCTGTTTCTTCGATTTCATTATTTTGCCGAGCGCCTGATTTCATCACGATCCCTCGCATAGGTTAAAAGTTTTGGAAAAATAAAAACAAAATGTTTGACTCCCCCCCCCCCCCCCCCCCCCTCCAAATATCTTCCAATGACCTTGACCCCCATGACATCCCACAAAGCAGTCACCCACCTAGCGGCCCTATGGGCACCCTATGGAACTTCCTGCTGTTCTGTCGGATTTTCTCCAGCACGGCGGGCATCCAGGCGCCGAACCTGAGCAGTCGGTCGTCCTTGGCGCGCCGCAGGTCGCCCAGCGTGTTCTCCACCGTTCGCAGCCGGTGCTCGCGACTCTTGAGCTGGGCTCTGCGCACGAGGGAGGAGAGATTTGTTGGGGGTTTTTTTTTTAAGTTTTAGTAAGTGTTTTACGGCACTTGCAACACAATAAGGTCATGTAAGTGCCAAAGATTAGAGGTGTTACAAGTAAGAGTAACAAACACAAAATAGAAGGAGGAGAGAAAAGGACGATAGATGTTTGATAGGAAAGAAGAAGAGATTTCTTTACATACATCACTGTCACGGACATGACAACAATGACAATAACTTTTTACATACATCGCTGTCACAGACATGATAGCAATAACAATAACAGTAACAATCAAAATAATACAGCCGTACCAGCTCTTTTTGTTTTAGTAAGGTTTTACGGCTCTCCCAACTGCATAAGGTCATATGAGCGCCAAGGGGTGGATGTCAACAGAGAAGTCCAAACAGGGAATCAGGCTTGCTCTGCTCACCTCTCTAGCCTCAACAGCACACAAAGTTTGCTTCGACTATCAAGGCACCCCAGAAATAGCAGTTCACAAGAGAGTGACAAACATAAAAAAGAAGTAGAGGAAAAATTACGAAAGTAAGGATGAGAAAAGAAAAAGCACCAGTTCCCCCTATGTTGCTCCGGCACAGTATGAGCATGACATTGATAAATCAACCTATTTACAACTCTACTGAGGAGAGATTTGTTCCCATCACTGTCACAGAGAAGATAACAATGACAACAATAATAATACAGCCATACCTGCTCTGGCAGTCATTTGTACTTTGTGGTGTCACAGCCGCTTTGACCCGCCGTAAATTGAGGCTCTATTTCTGTTCATTAATCCCTTTTATTTTTTTAATCACCAAACATTTCAACTCCTTCACAAATGAGGTTTACTTCCTATTTATATTCTACTTTCTTAATGTCTCAGTTTATGGCCGTTACTTGCTTGGTTTGTCGGTTCTTACGCTTTTTTTCAGACAGAATATCGGGAAATAATATAAATTGATAATTATAACAATAATAATAACAATAATAATAATGATGATGATGTTACATAATAAAATACACCCGTAATCTGATAAGGAAAACACATGCACAAAAAGACCATCACTGTGTGTAATTTCCCCTGACACAAAGGGCTATCTGCTAGTAATGCTCGGAGGGTTAACTCCCTCAACCCTAGGCCTACTACACTTCCCGGTTGTCAGCTCTCCCAAGAGATCTTTACCACTTTTTGAAAAACTGACAAAAATTGTAACATTATATCCTACCCAAATTTAGTACATATTTTATTCAAACATTTATTTGTGTTTATTGCGAATTTGAAGGCAAAATATGTCATAGGTTTTATGCAATACTCCCTGGAAAAAGGTCTAGATCTATATACAGAATCAAAGAGTCAAATAGTAAACAAAACGCGAAGAAAGGAAGTGCGTTCAAAATTTTCACCCCTCACATGGTTCCCGAATATAGCTTCCTTTGTTCTAAATTTGGGCTTCCACTTCTGGTCAGTCTGTTTCAAACAAAAAATGGTTACTCCTCCAATTAGGCTATGGTCTTCACGCAAAATTAGTGTTTTCGGTCTCGAGAGCGAAATTTTCCACACTGATACTGTCGGCATTAGGGTTGGAGCGTTGCGCACGCGTACCGATATTATCGGCTCCAGGGCTGGGCGAGTTATAACAGAACATCCCACATGCCCGCAGCCCCGCGATGCACTCACTTTATGGCCGCACGGTGCACTCACTCCGCAGTGCACTCACTCTATGACCCCACTCTATGGCCCCGAGGTGCACTCACTTTATGGCCCCACAGTGCACTCACTCTATGGCCCCACAGTGCACTCACTCTACGGCCCGCTGTGCACTGACTCTATGATGCCCTCACTCTACGGCCCTGCGGTGCACTCACTCAATGGCCGCCAGGTCCGACTTGTTCTTGGCGACGGCCCCTCGGAACTGCTCCACGCTGTGCTCCTTCACACGCAACTCCAGTGACAGTTTCTCCAACTGGCCCTCCAACTTGGCAATCTGCTCCTCCCTCTGCTTCCTCTCCGCCTCGTAGTCGTGCGACGCCCTGGTAAACACACACACATGCAACGGTTGGAGTTTTAGTAAGGGTTGTTCAGCATTTGCAAACACAAATAGGTCATATGTGAGGCAGCGTGGTGAAATCAGGCGCTCCGCGCTCGTCAAAATGATCAAAGTGAGGAAACTGGCATTTTCCTGCAGGTTTGTGGATTTTTATGGAATTTTCGTTTTTGGGCCTATTAAACAGGCTTAAAGAATACCAACCAATAACACTGTATGACCAAAAATTGACGAGCGCCTGATTTCACCATGATGTCTCACATATGTGTCACGACGTGGTGAAATCAGGCGCTCATCAATTGTTTAGGCATGTGGAGTTATTGATATCCTCGGATAGCTTATTCATTTGCCTTGCTTTCAGTGAAAAAAAAATATCCATCTAGCTTGAATTGAAGTCGAGATGTTTGCGATTGAAGAAGGTGGGGTAGCCTGTCTTCAGTGGACAATTAATGAGAAAATGGCCGCCAAAGTTTGGTAAATTCAGTAGCTTAAGAGTCCTTGAAAACTGGTGGGAAAATGCCCTTTTCTTCGATTTCATTATTTTAACGAACGCCTGATTAGCCACGATGCTTCATATAGGGGTTAAGGATTAAAAATGTTACTAAAGAGTAACATACAAAGAAAAGAAGGGGGAGATAAGAACTATAAACATTTCACTGGAAAGGAGAAACTCACACCAGAGCACCCGCCAACCACCCATGCCCCATTCTGTAAAACATGGGAATGATTGAAAGGGATTTTAAAACATTGTAAGGACAGAAACCATGGAAAAGATTGTAACAACTGTGGTGATTATGAACAATCATGAAAATAGTAAACATTTATAAAAGATTGTACATTATAGTAAATAGTTACAAAATACTGAAATGATAGTAAATGATTTTTGTTACTAAAATAAATGAATGTTTGGAAAACAAATTAAATAGATAGACAGATAGATAGATAAATACAGTGCAGCATCTCTATGATGACATCATCAGGACCAGAAAAAAATGTCATTATAGAGAGTTGTCGTTATAGAGAGGCAACCAAAAATATTACTATTGATATATAAGGAAAAATCTGGACCCGAGCACCATGTCGATATACAGAGGATGTCGCTATATCGAAGGTCGTTGTAGAGAGGCTGCACTGTATATGAATAATTAAATAATCCAGAGAGCACTGTGACTATTGCATGGATGGACAGGAGAGATGGGTCACATGTCAGACAGGAGAAGTGGGTCAAAGGTCAAACTCACGCGGTGCGGAGCTCCTCAATCCGCTCCTGGCACTGCTTACGGTCGCGGCGAGTGACGGCTAGCTCCCGCTCACACTCCTTCAGCTTGATCTGGGTTAGGCGGAGAAATGAGTTGTTTTAGTTTTTAATTTTAGTGAAGTTTTACGGCGCAACTGCATAAAGTCATATGTGCGCCAAGTGGTGGATGTAAACAGAGAAGTCCAAACGTGGAACCAGGCTTACCCTGCACAAAGTCTGCTTCAACTGTCAAAGCACCCCGGAAATAGCAACTCACAAGAGAGTGACAAACATACAAAAGAAGTAAAGGTAAAGTGACGACAGTAAGGATGAGGAAAGAAAAAGCAGCAGTTCCCCTTATGTTGTTCCGGCACAGTATGAGCATGACATTGATTAGCAATGCCAATGAAAATTTAAATTTTCACTTAAGCCCTTTTTATTTTGGTACCTAAGAAAAGAACTTTCAATTCTAAGAATTATGCTTCTTGAATTTTAAGAATCGGTTCATAAATAAAAAAGTTATGGGGTTGTAAAGGTCGGCAAAATATGGATGACCCACATATAGGAAAATACTCCTAAAAAGTGGACCACGCAGTAGCAGATTCTGTAAGAAAATCGACGATATCTCGGTAACTAATCGGAGTGTTCGAGAGAAACTTGGCCACCCGATGTGTTTTTGAGTGTAGAAATCATTTCTGCATGCAGTCAGATTTACTACAATTTCGTAGATATTTTGTTATAATTAAAATTTTGGTATACATATTACGATTTTGCGAAAAAGGGGTGTCGGGATGAGTCCATTTTATTTATAGCATCGTATCACAACATGGGATCTTTAAGAATATATGTCGGCAGCGTGACTAAATAATTGAAAAGCTTTTTATGATGACGGTAAGATTGAAGAACACCGGACCAGCGGACTGACTTTGCCTATGTCTCAACCTTAGGAATTCATAATTTTCCCGTTTTTAATATCTCTCAATGGAGAATCTCGGACCGGTAGATCTATTCATTAAAATTTTGTCCCCCTGAACCCCCCTCCTCCACCCCAACCACCCGCCCCACCAACCCCACTTTCTCGCGCAATAATGTACGAGTGGTCCGGTATTCTTCAATCTTCCCATGATGACTTTAGACCATGCCAACCGTAAAAGATAAGTTAATTCAATCTAGCATGCCGTACAATTAAAAATTCTTTTTCCCCGTTGAGACGCGAACACCCCGAGACGAGATAACCTCGCCTCGGAATACCCCCATTGCGATGTTACAGGGGAATAGAGAGAAAAACAACCGGATGCGCGCGCCCGCCATTGCCCTATTTCAAGTGACCAATGAATGGGCCCGGAATAGTCATGCGGGGATTTGTAGGTCACATACATTTGCCACGAGAGTGAAAGGAAAATGGCCGGTCTCCGTGCGAAGCTGCTTTGGATAGAGGGGTAGTCGTGCATTTATGATCGGGTCTAAACAACTACTTGATACAGAACGTTCAAATTTGAGCACACTATAGAGGATAGATAGATCTATTACCATCTCGGCGTTGAAATTCAAACTCCTTATAGTTTTCGGTGTACACGATACGAAAGTGTTCCCGACACCAAAAGTATAGGTTGATTTATGTGTATGAACTTCAACGTCCACATATCATTAGTTTGCCCTATTTTCTGATTGGTTGCCGAGTTTCATTCGGATTGGTTCGGAAATAGAGCAGACCGAGGTTGACAAAGTTAGTCACCTACGCTTCGGCCCGGTCCGCAAAATCGCCCGTAAACGGGGACCAAATTTTCGCCACGCGGGAAAGCCCGATTGGCATTGCTACATTGACAAATCAGCCCATTTACAATTCTACTGTGCACAAGAACATGTTTAAATCCCCCTTGCGAATGGTCTAAAGACATGAAGATTAGAAGTGGTACTAGAAATTAACATACTAAGAAAAGGAAGAGAGACAAGGACCATAGATGTCTGACAAGAAAGAGGAGCAAACCAAACCAGAGCACCCACCAACCACCCACATAGAGAAAAGAGAACCACATCAACACACCAGGATAGAGTAAAGATTTCACAGATCTCCACAGAGAGAAATCTGCTGCCACATGGTAAATATATAATATATATACGTACACTCACTCATCAATATACTCATACATATTCTCTTCCTCTCTCTCACTCACACACACATATTTACATACAGACACACACACACACACACACACACACACACATACTAACATTTACATACAGACACACACACACACACACATTTACATACAGACACACACACACACACACATTTACATACAGACACACACACACACACACACATTTACATACAGACACACACACACATATACACACATTTACATACACACACACATTTACATACAGATACACACACAACACACAAACACACAAACACACACACACATTTACAGACACACACACACATATTTACATACAGACACACACACAAACATACACACATTTACACACACACACACACACAACGCTAATCTCGCACACTTAACACTAAAGTCACTCAGTGTTTGAGTACAGCAAAAACATTTCTCAACGTGGGAGTTGCTCTTACAGCCCTCTCAGCCCCATTGAGCTCCTACCTGGATGGGCTGCAGCCTCTCCTTGGCCTTCTGTATGTCTCTCTTCTTCTCCTGCAGCACAGGCTCCAGCGACTTCACCTCCTCACTGCATTCGATCAGTCGTTCCTGTACCTCCTTGTGGCGCACCTCCCAACCCTCCACCTGGCGCTACAGAGAGAGAGAGAGAGAGAGAGAGAGAGA